TTATTGTTGTGTCCAGTCATGACTTTCTGCTACCTTGCATCTGGCAAGGATGCAGCTCAAGATCAAGGAGGTGGTCGAGGGCTTGAACGACATTTCCAGCAAAATTGAGAAACAATATCATGACGGCGTGATCGACGGATTTAGTGATGCGTCTGTGTCCCAGCTATTTTCACAGCGCCCTTTTCCAACCCTTGGTGCACAGTGCCCTGCAAACCTACTGTTTCCCTATTTCTCCAAATCTGCAAGGTCTGAAAACGAGTTGGACCTACTTTACGGGATAGCTCGGAGCAGGCCTTGTTTTACCGGCGGTTCAATTTTTGAGACTGGAAGGGGAAAGCATCTGTTTGATGTCCTGTTTCGACAGAAAACACCTTCACACAAGTTTCAACCCCATGCAGTGATAGTTTGACACCGCTCTTACCTCAGCTTTGCGAGGGCAATGGATGCATTAAGCTTGGAAAGCCGGATGAGGCCTGGATTGGCATGGGTGGTCGTTGGTGTTTCGATGGCTTTGGCACGATAGAGACATGGTTTGGACAAAGCTCTTAGTGAGAAACTTGTCCCTATAGTAACTATTAGCTAAATTAGCAAACTCTTAATGACAGTACTTGGCATGCGCCCCAAGACTTCAAACCTTCCTCACCCGTCACCCGGCTGCCCAGGCCATTCATTCCAAAAGGATCCACTTCCGGCGGGTCAAAGGGAAAGCTGAGGAGAGCGGGGAAGGGTGCCGAGGCTGCGGCCAAAGTTAGGGCCAAAGCAAAGGCAGCAGCAGCTAGCAAGTCCAAAGGTAGCGGGCCTCAGGGTGAAAGCGAGCCAAAAGGTTCCAGACCCAAGCGGGTAAGAAAGTGAGCTTTGTTTCAAACAAGTTAAGCGTTATCAGCAAAGTATCTGTTTGTATGCTTACACCAGTGGTTGTTCTAAAAGAATGGTATGAGTTGCAGGGTTTTTCTTCTGTTGAACGTGTTATTTTCTAGACGTGCAATGTGCTCGAAGCTCACTTGCTGGGGTTTCCATGCTGGGGGCAGTCTCCAAAAAGAACAAAGCAATGTACTTTTACATGTTCACACATAGCACCTTGGTTGTGAGAGACGATCCTCTTTTGGCATGTGACTTTTCACCGCCTGTTTTTTTCGAAACAGCGGCTTTCATCCTTCACGCGGTGTGAGGGCAATCCACTAAGACAGGGGTGCAGCTGTCTCAGGCTTTCGTGGCCGGCCGTGAGAGAAACAAATGAAGCGGATCCTTTAGTGCCACTTGTTTTGATAGGTGTTTAGCTTCTCCGATGACACAGTGAGCCAGGTGTTGAACAAGACGAACCACATGATGGGTTAAAAGCTGTTGCCGATGCAGTGGCTGATGGGGCCCTCAACTTAGCTCAAACACGAGACATTATGCGCCCTAACATGTGGGAGTTGGAATTTCTTATTTCACCTGGGCAAGGCCCAAAGTCAATGTTTTGTACAATGATCCAGGATTCCCACACCAGATTTTGAAGTCAAATCTTTCCCAAGCCGGGCTGAGGTCCCATGCACAACTGCAGAAGCCATCCGGCGGGGCTACACATCTAGCAAAGATGCCCCGGCCACTAGTGGTTGGAAAAAGAATGTTTCCAGAACATGCTGGAATACATTCAGGCGGATGGGGATTTCTTGGAATGTGAAGCTTAGCAACTATGACTATCGAGCACCTTCTGGAGAAGTGGTTCCCATGACTTATGTTTCCCCTATATCTTTGCTGCAATACCTCTTGGAGAAACACGTGGATGTGTTGGTTGGAGGCTTGCAGTGTCCCCAAGAAAGGGCGCAACACCTTGATGCTTTTTGGCAGGGTTTCAGGCTGCATCATGGCGACCATATGGTGTTTGAGGAGCATGGCGGTTCCCTGTCGAGAGTGATCCCATTGTGCTGGCATGGAGATGAGGGGAGAGGCAAGCGACGAGGGAATACAGTTGTCGTTTCGCTGGAATCGCCGATAGGCATTCAAACTGCGCTACAGAAAAAAAGGAAACATACTGATACTGCTGGATGCGGGTGTGGGTGCAACCCTCCGGACTCTATGAAGCAGAAGTACCACAGAGAACACAAAGAGATGCACGCTCGCACTTTGTCTGCCTTGGATTGTCAGTGGACGAACATGAAAGGTCACAGTTTTCTTCAGCACTTTGCGCTCTTCATCATTCCCAGTGTGGTGCACCATGCACACCCACAGGTGCTGCCTGAGATGTTGAAGCTGATATCTCTTGACTTCAAACGGCTCTTCTTTGAGGGCTTGACCATTGGAGGTAAGCAGTTCTGCTTTGCTCTGATCGCAGCCAAAGGAGATTTGAAGTGGTTTTGCAAGATCGCTTTGGAACGGTCATTTCAAAATCAGGGCAGGGTCCGTGACAGACCTTGTTGCCATGAGTGCATGGGTGGCTCAGGAGCTCTTACATGGGAAGACTTGAGCGAGAATCCTGTTTGGGCAAATTCAAGATATACGCAGCGACCTTGGTCAGTGCCTCCTTGTGTGATTGAAGTGCCGTTCTGTCGGAGAGCGCCTGAAAAACAGTTCAAGAGAGATCCATTCCATTGTGCCAAAGTTGGCATCTATCGGGATCTAGCTGGCAGCTGTATTTGTTGGCTTGTCGCCAAGCAGTACTACGGCAATGCTGGGGACTTTTCAGCCAAGCTGGAAACATGCCACGGGATTTTTAGATTGTACTGCACTACGGTTGGCCGCACAGCTGCTTTGCGCTCATTCAGCCGCGCCCTTTTCATGTACCCACGGTTTAGTGCATACCCGTGGGCAAACACGAAGGGCAGTGACACCATGGTTTTGCTGTCCTTCATTGCTGTTCAGTGCGCTGGCTTCATCAATGCTCCGCTCAATCCAGCTCATGTTGTTGACTTGAAGCTGATGCGCCAGACCTGCTTGGCTGCAGTTGACTACTTCTCTGTCCTCAATCACCATGGTTTGTGGCTCCGGAGGCCGTGTGCAATGGCTGCGCAGGTTGAGCTGACAAAATTTGTTGTTGGCTACGGGATGCTAGCAAGCAGGTGCTTGAACGACCAATTCAATGGTTGGGCTGTGAAGCCCAAGCTCCATCTCATGAAGCACGCTCATCTTGAAATGCATGAGTGGCTGGCAGCAGGTTTGGAGATTCTGCCAAATTACAACGTGCACAACTGCGAGCAAAACGAAGATTACATAGGACGAGTGTGTCGCCTGTCCAGGCGACTTGACAGTCGGAGGATTGGGCAACGTGTCCTTGAGTGTTGTTTCATGAAATCTCGTTTGATGCATCAACGCTTTGTAAAGGAGAACCAATTGGATTGAGTGCTGTGATTGGCACTGACGGGTTGGCTGGAAAAAGAGGTCTTGAGTCTTGACCGTGGGAAGGGACCAATGTTCAGTCAGGGCCCGATTTGTTTGAGCATGTGAGGGCCCGACCTCAACCTTTCTATGTTGCATCATTCTTTGGATGTTCAGTCAGAACCTTGGGGGTGGGAAAGCGGCGAGGCTGCAGGCGAGAAGGAACATAATGAAGCTGTGTTCATCAAAGATAAATCAAACGAACCAAAAAAAAACAAACGAACTAAAATAATTGCAAACGCCAAAAAAACACAATGTTTCAACTTCGAGCGATAATTTCGCACGACCGGAGGTTGTAGGTATACAATATGGACCTCCATCTGTCTATGACATTTTGGGGTGCCAGTGCATGCCAGTGCCATCTACTCTGAAACCACTGTAATTTTCTATCCTTAAAATGCTATTTGGGTGGTTTCAGAGGTCGCTGAGGGCTATCTGGAAATCAACAACCTCCCTTCATTCCGCCACTGAATAGATCCTAATTATAAACAATGGTTTTAACTTCTACGCCTAGCCGCGAGACGATCTCGCGCCCTACTGAAGTGTCTGGAAATCGAGCCCACCTCCCCAATCGGAGAAACCCAGGAATCTGACGGGGAACCCCAAAATTGGAGGGGCTCCTTGATAGGGTCCGAGAAGACCTCGGAGAGGAGTCGGACTTCGGTAAAACGACTTCGGGTTAGAAAAACCGTCTGACTGTCCAGCCTTTTTGGTTCGCTGGATGCCGGGGTGCAAAACAAAACCTGGATCTTTGGGAAATTGGTGCAGAACACCTCTGCCTTTTCGATTGGCAGCTAAGTTTGGCAGATTTGTGGCAGAATTGATCCTGATTTCCCCAAACAGTGTGGTCACACTTCGCTAGGGGTTCTTGCGATAATGGAAAAGCAGCTGATGCTTGGATCGCTGAAGCGCGCGGGATAACTCTTGAGGAGCCAGGGTTTCTCGTCCGGACCATCGACCGTCCTTGGGATGAGGTCACTGACCAAGGCCTGTAAAGAGTCACTGGATGACACGAGTTCCGCTGTGGAGCCGAGTTCGGCTCAGGTCCTGGTCTAGGACTGCGGTTGATTGGCCCTTCGAGCCGGTTAAGTGTACAAGTCGGTAACTATGACGATCCACTGGGCCCCTCTATAGCAGGACCCGAAATACATCTTGCGGATCCCCGATTGAAGACCGTCCGAGTCGTCCCGTCCGAGGTCGGCGGCGAATTCAGTTCCGTATATCCCAGACGCTCCGTGAACGACACACGACAGGTCCCTCAAAACCGGTTTTGAGACCCCTCCGACCCCTCCTGAGGATTCGGGTCCGACCCCTCCATAGTTGGCCCATGAGCGTCTGGGTATGGATGATCAAGTCCATCGTCCAACGTCTGCCTCGACTGTCTGCCTCTTCACGCTGAACAGGCAAACCAGCACGCTGAACAAGACGCTGCAGCGTCTTCTAGCGTTGGGGTGAGGCGTTTTTGTTCTTTTTTGGTTTCCACCGGTCAGGGATTTCTTCCTAATCCTGAGGTCTTGATGTGGAGACTTGGACTAGAGCTTCCATCATCGGACGGCACCCACCACCACCGGTGGCCGGGGGACTACCCATGTGCACAGCACACAAGTGTGGCGACTGCATGCAGTGGGGATTTTCAGCCAAGGTTCTCATTGGCACCCACAATGGCTAAAACCTGAAGTCTGTCACGATGTGGCTGTGAATCAGTCCAAGAATTATAGATATACAAATCAAAGATTCATCCCAAAGGGCTCCCTTAAAACTAGCCATAGCCCTACCTGGTCATGAAGGAAACGATCGTCTCCCAAACCTTCCTGAAAGGGGCTATGATATTATTGTGGAGGGGTACATCCCCGCGAGATGACTAGACAGTTCCATTCCTTTTGTGAGTTACGTGACGTGGGGGATGGATGGTGCTAGGTCAGGGACAAACCAGGGTGAACTGCTTTTTCATGTGCTTAAAAACCAACACTCAAATTGTTATGGCATGTCTAGCAATAAAGGGGTATCATAAGCAAAATCAACCCGGTACTGCAGAACACACTGAGACCTTGGGGAAAGCCACAACCTGAGCTCTAACCTTGAAACGCCGGCTACAGTAGCCCAGTCTTGGCCAAGCCATCAATCATCCACTTGGATATTTGAGCCTTGAGGAGCTGTGGAGTGTACACCAGTTTTTCCACATATAAGCAGAGCTTTGGAGCTCCAGCAGTCACAAGACGGGGTGGTGTTTAGTCCCTAAGTGAGTGGATGTTCTGGGCACCCCTAACCTCCATGGATAACACCCCCCGGCGAGGCACGGGCTGCAAAGCGCCGGCCACGCGCAGCGGTAGCACGGCCATCCTGAGCGAGTCGACAAATGAAGTCCAAACAGGTGAATGGTGGAGTCGGACCTCATGGTCAAGTGGAGTCGGTGAAACCTGGGGGTTTTGAGGAAAGTACCTTGGAACATGAGGGTGCAAGACAACCTGTTTTGGAGTTTCGGCTCAGAAACATGCAGAAGACTTGAACGGGAAAGTATGTGGACCTTGCAAGGGTCTCAGAACGTCTTAGACGTCTTGGAGAGGGTCCAAGGTTCCAGGAGAACCCTCTTCGTCTTGTTGAATCTCTCGGGCTCCTGTCCTACCTGAGGGCCTCGAAGATGGTTGGGGTGGTTGGATTTGGGGGGGGGTCCATGCGGGCCCTAAACACCTTCGGAAGAAGTGGTTGGAGCTTTATTGATGCATCATGAGGAGGGATACCAAAGACCAAATTGGCAACATCCCTTCATGAGGAAGGATCCCAAAGATGAATGGCCAGAACAGGAGAAGGCCTGCCTGCATGGCATCGTGATTGGAAGAGGCATTTGGCCCAAGTCCCATCCAATACGTCTCACAGAACGGGCAAACTGCCAAAGACATGAGCCAACATGAGCAGAAAATGTCTTGGGAAGGGGAGTGGAGAAGAGAAAAGAACATTGAATAGGCCCTCAATTGATTATATGTATATATATATAATATAACTTTATAACACTCTATAATTATATATAGTGTATATATATTATATACATAAATTTATTAGGCAATGATTCCAGATCCAATCTATCCTCTATCCTGTTTTGCAGGGGCATGCTCTGACAATGACCAACCCGCACCTAGGATTCGGACGGTGCATCCATGTCCCAACGAGTCGAGTTGTTCTCTCTTTGCGACATCGTCTGGCTCGGAGAACACCCGCTGCGCATGGTGCATATGGATGCATATGGCATGATGTATACCAGTATACGGGTCTATCCTATCATGCCAGGACCCTCCCAGTCAATGGAGGTTAATATAAACACACACCCCTCGGCCTTGGAGGGTCCTGGTGGTCTATAATACCTGGACCATCCTGCTTGGCTTCAGATTGCCACCGTGCCATGCCAGGCAGCTCCGGCTCAAGTTGATCGGTCCACCAGCCCGTGGGCAACTTCACCTGACCAACTGGACTCCCAATGCAACTCTCTCCACCCTCCACGTATTAGAAGGCATAGGCCTAGCTAGGGCCTACCCTACCCATACCCCTAAGTTGGGGCCTAGGCTACCCTAGAACGTTCTGTATGTCATAGAACATCAGATGAGATGAACCCTGAAAACATCAGGAGCTACGACTGAGACGACTGGGCTCTCCTTTTTTGTGGAGCCCAGGGGCCCAGCGTCCATTCCATGTATCACGATGGATGGGATTTTTCAATGACCATCTCCACGCCAGGCTCCACGCCAGGCTCCGCTCCAGGCTCCCTCCCCAACAGACGGACCTTTGATTCGACCCCGGGTCGTGAGCGATGTCCGAACGAAGGAACTCAGGTAACCCAAAGGAATCAAACACCGGGAGTGAGTGATGATGCCTGCCCGAAGAGAAACATGAGAAAAACCAAGTATGCCACAAACCAGGCCACGACCCACTATCATAACAGCATTCCCAAGTTTGTTGAACCAATTCCCCCCAAACAAAGTTCACCTTTGCAGGTAGTCCACTGAGGCTGCTGGGTCTCATACCTGCAGGTAAGTCTTCAATGGCCAGGAATACTCCCAAGATCTGCCAAGAGTTACTTGTCTGCCCCAAAAGCACCGTGCTGCTTCTCCTTCTCCGTATACCAAGTGGCGAACTCCTGCCGCAGCCACCTCGCGGCGGGCTCCGCTGCTTGCTTGACCTCCGGTCGCTCTTGAGGACCTGCGCTGCGGTGGGGACTGACCCCCCCTGGCACCACCGGAAGCATCGAAGCTAACGGAGGGTGTGGGCAGCCCAAACGGGAATGATCCATTCCCTCGACTTCATTCGTCTTCCTTCAATGGGGTGGTCTGGATGGTCAGACGGTCCAGGGTCCCCAAACATGTGGTCCAACCGGGAAAACAATTATCCTCACCAGGTGAGTGAAGGGGATTCAACCAGACCACCGGTGTCGAGCAGAGGACCACAGTCGAACGGGCGCTCGATGCCTCAGAGTGGTTTGAGACGTCTGGGCGCCCGTCTGACGTTCCATGTGAGTTCGGTGCTTGACATCGGGTCCAGATACCTGTTGTGGTGGGTACGGGTCACAAACACCTGACAGGCCTGCTTTAGTATGATGATGGGTAGGTTTTTAGGACTGGCTCTGCAGGTAAGAACGACCCAAATGATACACCTCTTGTTGTAGAGGAAAGCCGACTTCTAGTCTGGTCCATCCCATCAAGTTCCATGTGGTTCTCTTCCCCACATGATACCAGTCCCGTCTCTTGGACTGCTCTTGGTCGCGATCGACTTCGATCGAAGTCAAGCGAGACAAATTGCCCATGCACGATAAACAAAATAGGTAAAACAAAAAACATAACCATTTCCAGACCCTTCAAGCGGGTGAGCAATGGAAGCCCCTACACTACTTAGGGACCTCCAGCCAGGACACCCCTTGAAGGTCCAGGTGTTCTTTTTGATTACTGGTCCAAATCCAAATGAACACTTGTTTGAACTTCTTTTTTGCTTCCTTCCAGAAAGGAGCCATCTTCTCTGAAAACCAAAACAGTTGACAGTTGACAAACATTTTCCACGACCTTCAAAGTGACTGCTTTGGAGTCTCTGATTAGTGACCTTTTTCGGGTCTAAGTGACCTCATCCTGGGATATCAACGGGTCACTTTGATGGTCCTGGTTGATAGATGTTACATATTGATTATTCCGGATTCCTCCAACGACCTGAATAATCGCTTCAAAGCTGATTGCAGGATATGAAACATACCTTTGAAGAGGACATATAGATTCACACAATAGATCCACAGGTTACATATACAACACTATATATATATAATATATGGATCCACTGCCACCTTCTCAGAAGGCTATTGGACCCTCCTGGCGCATACATAAATAGTCTCCAATCACCTTCTCAGGTTGAATATGTGGATCCATAGGGAGAAACAACATATACATGAGATATGCTCAACTCATGTCCCACACAGGCCGCCAGGTCCGAAAATCCACACCCCTGGCGACCGCCAGGTCCAAACCGGGAGACCTAAAACTCCGTCCAATCCAACACGGAGAGCAAAATACGATGCCCTTACTGAACTAGCTTCTTAGCAAGTAGCTAACCTGGCCTCCACCGTGAGCTTGGCCGGCCAACACCGTCCCACTTCCAATTCGCCAGGTCACGGAACTCCGGTCGCTCCAAGGGTCGCGGTCGCGGACGCTCCGGTCCGCGCGCACGCGGAGCGGGCTCCGGGACCGGCCAGCTGGGGTGGAAAATGCCATGCTGGTCCTTCGTAGCACGACTTGGTACGGAAGAGGCGGTACGGAAGAGGCAACCTGAACGTGGACAGATGGTGGGATTCGGGTTGAGATGAGACATATATGATCTTCAGCTGCTAGAAGAATTTGTTCGTATACATACTGAATATGTCGAGTTTTTCCCTTCACTGGTTAACATCTATTTGAGGGAGTTGGAGGGTCGCTCGTGGATTTCTTGAGGCACACCTTCCTCATTTGGAGGTGCAACACTCTCTAGAGAGGCGCCACCATTTCATAGCGCTTCATATTGAACATAGCAAGCGAGTGGGCAGCGCTTGCTAAGCTCCAGATCGACGCAGACCTCCCGCAGACGCTGCTCACCAGCAGCTAGAAACAAGGACCGTCCTCCCAAACCCCTCCCCTCCCCCGGTTCGGTCCGTCTGTGTGTGAAGTGCGTATGTATTCAACGTGTGTTGCGTATGTATCTCCGTGGTCCGGCAGGAGTTGAAAGTCAGCCGAGGAGCAAAGAAGTAGGTCACTTGAAGCTGCGAAGTGTACTTCCTTGGCAGATCGGGACGGGTGAGCAAGACATGAGACGAAAATCCAACCGGCCTTGAGTTCTCTGAAAGACGCATGAAAAAGAAAGGATGAAATAAGACCTAGGGCTTGTATGATGTTAAATATGGGGTAGATCAGAGATAGGGCAGACTTGAATGGTAGTAGATTAGAGGTAGCACTGACTTGCTTGGTATTATAACTATTGGTCAATCATGGCAACTAGACTGAAGTCCCACGAATTCTCTGAGTTGGGTACCCATACATTCCTCAGGTACCTGATGGAAAGTATCGGCTTCTTGACTGCAGGGGATACAATATTATTTGCAATTGTCAAATGCTCATGGAGTTGTGAATGTTGAACATTTGCGCAACATATCACATCATATCATACAGATTCATATAGCATGCACCAATCCTCACACATGTCACTCATGTTTTTTGGCAAATCAGCACACCTTCGGCACGTGAACACTTCCACCATGAAAAAGAGAGGTTTCGAAGAAGACCCAGTTCCTGGGACTAGTAGTACATCAGGCGAACGAGGCGATCCGAGGGCTGCTGGTTCCTCGATGGAGAGGCGTTTTAGGGCGAGGATGGACATGAGAGGATGGACATGCTCCGTTCAGGCAAAGGATGGTGGTTTCAGAGGTTCGATGGCACCACCCCCATGATGTCCTCGACAGATGGGGGTCCGTATCGCCAACCCTGGGGTAACTGGTGCCATCGAAGCTCTGAACCCACACACAGAAGCATAGGTGCCTGGACAGGACCCTGTAACACTACAGGCTTCTGGAATCATACCCTATGGATCCACATACCTTCTGAGAAGGTGATTGGAGACTATTTATGTAGGCTTGGAGGGTCCAATAGCCTTCTGAGAAGGTGGCAGTGGATCCATAGGGATACAGTGTGCCTGGACCCGACTGACTTGATTCGTGGAACAATGGGACGGTCTGACCCGAAGCTTTGGAAACACAGCTTCCAAGGTCTTGGAACCCTGAAGGATCTCCAAGGTCAGTAACATGATACTCACCGGGATGCCCACCCCCTCATTCTGAGTACGGAAGATATCCAAACCGCCCGAATCGCCCACCCGCCCCGAACGCTTCTTGAAGCAGCTGCTGAGCTGCTTTAACCACGCCTTGGTGCTGCTGGACACTCGCCAGTCCGCCTCCAGTGTGCTCAGGTCGAAGGCAGTGATGAAGTAGGCATTGTCATACTGGATGCAAAGCTCCAAGGTATCCAGGATCGTCGGTTCCTACAGTACCATGGGCGAAAGACCCGTCAAACGAACGGAATGGACTGACGTTCGTTCTGGGAGGCCTAGGTAGGCACCCTCCTAGCAGGTCTGGAAGTCTGGTAGCTTTTGGAGACTTCAAAGTGTCAGGTGGTGACCCATCTTTGATTGTGCTGGTACTGGACCTTTTTGGGGAGGATCCTTGGTGACGAGCTCTTCAGGTCTCATGAACTCGGGTTGGCTGACATGGTGGTCGACTCAGTGCGGGACGTGCGGCCACTCTTCGGTTCCGTTTTGGGGGACGAGATCGAACGGCAAAAAACGGAGAGTCGAGTATTGCAATACCAAACTTTGTTTTGCATGTTCGGACGAGAACAAGGGCGCGAACGTTGGATGATGGTGCCTTTTTGGTGCAAACGAATGGGACTGGAATAGATGCCGCCCCTGGTCAAGACCCCTGAAACCAACCACCCCAATGCATGCCATACAATGGAGTGTCTGGGAAATAGTGATGTTCTGAAAACCCACGGCTCTACAGGTCATGGGACACCCCCGATTGGGTGGCGACTTTGGGGGAATCCGATGTCAGCTACCTGGAGTCGACCTGTATCGAACATGGGTGCAGTGGTACACTCCTACTCACTGGTCCCATGGAAGACTGCTTTCCTTTAGAACAGGGGGTGCCATCCACTTCCATGTGATGTGTTCGTCGGAGTGTACCTATTTTTGGGGATCGTGTCCCATGAGCTCTAGAGCACGAACTGGAGGATCCAGTTCATAAAAAAAAGGTATCTTCCACAACTTCACTCGGACTGGTTTTGTTTTGGGATTCCATCAAGTGTGTCCTATCGAATCCAAAAGAAACGCTGCAGCCATCACAGATCCTGGAGGTCTCCGGAGCAAATAAGAGAATCTTCTCCCAAGCTTCGTTCGTGAACTTTCTGGTCTTTGTCCAAAGCTACCCCAAAACCTGGGTGAGGTCGACTGGTCTCTGAAAATATATACAGCGCTGGTCAACCACATCCCGAGAAGGTTGTTAGACCATATAGACCCTCCAAACCCAACCTAACCACCTTCTGAGGATCTGCGAACGCGCTATACGGAATTTCAACAAAAAGACAATGATCGGGCAAACATCTCCACTTGCGGGTACCGTGATCTGAACCCGAGATGAAGTCAATAAGAACAATCAAGAATTCCAAAACTGAAAGACCACCTACACAAGACCTATGCACCCCAAGATTGAACGAGCTAAACTGCCAGGCGTCGTTGAAGGCTGGGAGGTACAAACACCCCGTTCTTCCACTCGCTCGACGTACGGCAGCCCAAAGGCATTCGTCCTTGAAGACAAGGATCACCTGCTAGCGCCCGTCGCTGCCCGACCCAGCAACCCTGCCCTCTGCCCCCTGCACTCTGATGGCGTCACGCCGCACGGTGACCGTGACGACGCGATGAGGAAGCAACAGAAGCAATGGCGTGTAGTAGTATGGCCAGGAGCCCCTAGTAGCGTCTTTGACATGGATGTTGCTCCCCTTGTTGGTAGGAAAGTCATCTTCCGTTCACAGGGCCCTTGCCATCCACTTCCACCAGACGTGCACACCTGTGCATCGCTGACCTCTTAGGGCCCTCGCTCCGTCGCGTTTCCCTCGCGTTTCGCCTAAACTCGCCCGGCGCCTTGATGCGATCCCGTTGCAGGCGCTGCAGCACCGATTCCACCATGGTCACGAGATCACCTGAGGAACCAGCGCGACGCAACGAACCTGCGGAAACAGAGCGCGCGCACCGCGCTGTTTCAGAGGAGCAAGTGCCGAAGGCCGGAGCACGGATGAAACCGCTTGGAATGGGTGGAGTTGTTGGGTATTTTTGGAGGATGGAGTGGGTCATGACCCAGGCGACCGCGGGCCCGGAAACCACACCAGCGGTTTCCGAGAAGGATGACCATGGTGATCATGATGATGAGAATGATGACTTAATGATAGCTAGACAGTTGAAGTTGGCAGCTCATGCGCAACGGAGAACCCTTTCGAAGGTGCCAGCTCGAGAAAAACACAAAAACTCCGAAAACCTCCTGGAGGGGTTTAACATGCAGCCCTTCTTCACCTATGGCGCCATATTTCCTACAGCTCAGGGTCCCCAGAACTGGGTCTCCAGAAAGCTCTCAAGAAACCCCCTTCAAGATCCTTCAAGTGGCCATGGCAGCTCGAGAAACTGGCGGTGTCCAGGACGCAGATCTTTGCCTCCATGTGAAACTGGCAAGTTGGTCACCTTTCTTCGAAGGCTTCGCGTGTCCAGCGGCGCGTTTCCTTCGATGAAGAGACCGAAGCACGTTTTCAGAGGGCCAAGCCAAACCTGGAGTGCTTAAAAGGTAGACTCTTCATTGATCACCCCCGCACATGAACATGTTGTTCGACCAGGAATGGTGTGTAGCTTTTATCAAAAAAAACGCGTTTTTAAGTGAACATTTATAGGAGAACCATGGTCTTCGTCCCCACCAACTTCGATTTACACTCCCCAAAAGGCTCATTGGACCCTCAGTTCGCTAGGGTTTTGACCCTCACTTCGCGGGTGACATGGACCGAACCAACATGTAGCAGTTGGTTCGGGGCCGAGTTCGGGTCGCCTCTGGGTCGAACACACGCTTCCTGGTTTCACCCACGCTCCGCCCATTCGGCTCCGTCCCAATGCTCGGCGATGCGAGGGCCATGAACAACGGCCTGTCCCAGGCCTCTGTGCTCTGCGAAGTCCGCTTACATATACCCGTCCGAGGTCCAGTCATACCAAAACGAAACAAAGGTATGACTGGATCCGAACATGGCCCCCCAGTCCCACCTTCCTAAAAAGGAAAGGATATAGGACTTGCCCAGACGCTCCGGATCAAACAATCAGAACCGCTATGCGAGTTTCTATAGTCAAGACACAATGGGCAACGGGGTTGTGAGTTGTTGCTGCAGGAAGCTGAAAGAAGCGCCCCCAAGGAAGCGGCTTGCCGGCGCGAGAAAAGCAGCGCCCCTGTGGACGAACCCGGAGAGCTGTCCCACTAGTCGACCTTGCTCTAGGCTGTCCTCTCGTTCTTTCTAGTCCCCTTCTCCACCCATGCGCCAAGTCAAGTGACACAGAATCCAAAGCGCGCACGGCTAACGTCAAGGATGCCACACACAACCATCACCCATGGCACGACGAGAGAATGGTCATATAAATCGAAGCATGTGGGCTGCAATTGAAAGCTCGCAAAAATAGCAATCGGATTTGTTCAAACACTCCCACATGTTCCAACTACCAAGTCCTTTCTGTGACTTTAACTTTGATGTTACAAAACTTCTCTACGTGTACTTTAGTCATGAGCCTTTTTTTGGTACTGAATTGATCAAGACTCAAGACCTTGTAAACCGATAGGGGCCAACCCAATACTATATATACCTTTCTACCCTTTCTTGACTGACACGACTGACACTTGCACATGGCCTGCAATCCAAAACACTGAATAATACATTCATGAAGGGGGGGAATCCCAAATCCCTAGGGATCCAGTCGTACCTTCTCAGGTACGGTGTTCTGTGTTCGACACTGTGATGTAGGCGCTCCTGGCGGGCCCAGTCGTACCTCCTGAGGTTCGGTATGTGGATCCTTATAGGGAATATACTGGCCATCGAAAACACTAGACGGCCCACCGGCGAGGTGCATCCGGGGGGAGAACGGCGGATTGCGACGGCATGAAGCGCCCAGTTGGGGGTCACAAGAAAAGGACCACAACCGGTGGTGGAGTTAAGTTGAGCTCATTGTGGATTCAACTGCAAATATCACATGGCCTCTTTCCCCTGGTTCGCAAGTCGATGGTGCAGCTGCACCATCGATTGAAGACACTCTCTGATGCCTGTCGGAGGCCAGTTCCCCTTCCCGGGGTGAGCACCAATTCCGCATCATTGCACCAATTCCAACTGCAGGGGGGAGAACCCTGCGAAAAGCAGCAAAGCTTGGACCCTCACCGACATGTTTGACCGGCTGAGGGTCCTTGATTCAACCGGCTTGCATGTTTCTTTTGGTACAGCGAATGTTCACGATAACCTCGTGAAAATCAATACAATGCATTTAAGTGAATCAAAACACCCAGTAACACAAAAAAGTAGATTACAGGGAGTTCCATTGGGTGCCATCAGCATACCTTTATACTAAACAGTGGGACTGTCGCTAAAGAAACAGGTACGACCGTGGCCTTATTGCTGCAGAGGTACATATACAGGTCGACTCCAGGTATCATTGCTGTGGTGTATACTGTATATATGACTGGTGGTCTTGTGTGGTGAAGATTGGTCATACGCGCCGTCCCTTCCCCCCATGGATCGTGTGGGTTATACATGGTGCGAAAATGGATAAGTGTACCATATAGGACCCACAGTAGTTGGGTGGTAAATGATAGTAAATGGACACCGCCTTTGAATCATCCTTAAAGGGCTATACATGTCCGCCTCTTGGGGCCCTGGTATGTCACTATTCCCATGAAATGACCTATGGATGGTTCGAGAATCGACACGTAAAGGGAAACTGAACCCGCCAGCGTTCCGAACATCGAGGGGTCTCCACACCCTGCTACAGAGGTTAGTGACCTGAACTAGGACCCTGCAGGGGTACCTATAGGATAGCCTATAGGGTTCTTCAACCTCTGCTGGCTCTGCAAACAATCCAAGCTTGGAACACTCGGAACACCGATCGAAGCACTGGTTGAAGCCGGTGGTCATCCGTCCACATGCCGAAGAAAACACCTCTGGCGCAGAGCCCAAAAAATCCAATAAGCTCCTTCAAGTACTCTAGAAAATGGGGCCTGTAAAAACAGGTGTTTGTACTCATATTCCAGGATACTTTGAGACTCCACATATAAGTGTCGGTTGGCTGTGAGTCTTGTTGTGTTTTCAAGTCGAATCAAACCGTTTTCTTGGTGCCAGTTCCAAAGGTGTTCAGTCCCGGGACAATGAGTAGATGACCCAACTCCGTGTCCTCCGGCCATCTCCTTCGACCTGGTGGTTGCAGCCTTGGGCCGCCTTGGTGGCCTATCCGTTCTCTCGAAGGCCCATGAGCACGGGACGTCTACTGCCGCAGCACCGCAGCTCAAAACTCTTTTTGCTCCAGGACCATCCCAGTTTGGTAACAAAGCACCTGCCAGCACATTCACTTGCTGGGATTTCGAAGCACACAAAGTCACGCGGAGCTTTGATGGTTGAAACACCAGGAGCCAGTGTCAAGACATGGATCATGACCCAGCAAATGCTGGAATATTTGTCTCCGCCGAATCCAAGTTTGCTTCATCTGATGGAGCAAACAGCAGATCCTGCACGGCATCACACCAGGCGCAGCCTCTGCCCCCCGTTCTGGAGCCTAAACGCGGGCAGACCGCAGTCCCTCAAGGTCACGGTGAAAGCGACCGGTGAACGTTCGACTGGGCTCAAACGAGGCTCAAGGACGCGCACGGCGCTCCTGGTGCACGCAGGGCCATGGGGTTGGCGCAGTGGATTGTGGTCTATGGCTATCTACTGCAGACCGGTGGTGACTAGCGAACGATCGTGGTTTGGGATGATGGATGCCCTGGGCAAGCCAAACCAAATGCCACGAGCGTGCTTTTGGACAGGCCAAGGCCCTGCCGTGCTTTCTTCCAGTGTCACCGGGCGCCATGGGGGGGCAACGGTTCGGAGGCGTTTTCAGCTATTTGGGCTCCAGGGAATCTGAAGATCCCAAAGGATCTGTACCTAGACCCGACTTCAATATACCATAGAAAATGGTACATGACTGTCAGGACCCCGTGAAAACAGGCACTTGTACTGTCTGTACCCACTTTCCAATCCAAGTCTATTGAAAAGACTCGAAGAGACCGGCGAAAATCGCTAGAGACGTCGAGTTGCTGTGCACAGCAAAATGCGCGGAGGGAGTTTTTGCGGAGCGAGCATGTTGGCACGGAGGAGCACTGAAGGTGGCACCTGCGTCTTCAACTGATCCCCAAGGGAAAGCGCCTGAATCACCTGATGTAGCCAAGGCGGCTTGGCCCCTTTCAAAAGGGTGCATCCACCCAAGCCTGACGGAAGCGCATGCTGCCCTCGCAAAGCCGTGTTTTGGCCCAAGAGCACTGTGGACGGTTGCAGCACAGGACTCTGGTGCAAAGACATTCCAGTCTCTGCGTCGCGGTGGAAATTCCAAGTGCTTTGATCGTAGATGGTCTCTTCAGCACATCTTCACCATGTGGACGAACGGGTGTGTCGAGCAATGGTCTTGGCGACCTCCCTCACGAATACCCCATAGGGCCCACGATTCTCCCTGGTGTCACTGATGAGGTCAGTCTCTTGCTACCTATCCGAAAAACTCCTCTCAGCCCGCATGAGACGCTTGCTATGCAAGGCTTCATGGGCTACGCAGAGTCGAAAGAAGAGTGAATGGCTTCCGAAACGGGGTTACATGAGGTAACCACTGAGGAAATCACTGTCCACTCACTTGGGTTAAAAAAAAACCACGCGGATAGGCAGCTTCGTTTTCTGGTCTCTTCGGAAAATTCACTGGTTGTCAAAACGAAAGCCGTGCTCAATGGAAACGCATGATGCTGCAGTTTCATTTGATCAATTGGGCCTAAAAACGTGTTGAATGGCCTGCCTTTTCTTCCAAACAGGTCCTTTCATTGTAGCCGTGTGCTCGGAACTTTCAACACCTGTGGCCTTTCAGCCGTGGGTTGAGAATGAGTTGGGACGATGGAACTATGCCTTCCAGATTAGAGCAGCGTGATGACGCCTCACACCCCCTGTAAAAATTCTGCTGAGCAGAAAGCCCCCCTCATCAATCCTGAAAACACCAATCAATGAGGTCAGAACAGCCGCTGTGGTGGTGCACATTCCATGCCCAAACTCACAGAAAGGTATATTATTCTCCAGGAGAATCTACAGGAAAGCAATAACCGCTTCTCTCACAGGCCACTCAAGACCCTTTTGAAGCCACAGTGCGCCAACCGTTCGAGGAAGCGATCTTCGGAATTTGACCCAGCACCGGGAAATGAGGGCTTTGGATTCTCCAGGAAAATACAGCGACAGTATTTGTTCCTGCTGGACTCGACTTCAAATACTTCACCAAATGGGACACGACCCTATTAAAAAACAGGTGCTTGCACCCATTTTCTAAGGTACGAACTGAGACTCCAGGTCATTCTCATCACTGCCTTTTAACTGGTTCTTAACTTTTTCATTCTCGGTGCCATGTACTGCCCACACTTGCACGA